AGAATCAAACTAAAAGATATTCTTCATGGGGTTTGACCGGGTTTTGACCGGGGACGAGATGTTAAACCCCTTACCCGCCGGGGACCGGGACGGGGGGATGTTACTACAAACCGGGGTCGAGGATTACAAAACCCGCCCCCCGGTTACCATGCCTATTCTATATGTATGTATGTTACAAAATATATAAACTAATCTTGATCCTTAATTTTATGTATTTTGAAATTTTTAGTCAGTTACTGTATTAGTTATAAATAAGATTGAAAGTAAATTTCGAAACCAATTTAATCTATCAATAATATTGATGTAATAATTTACACAAATGATTGGGATTAGTTTGCACAATTTATAGGATTTGTTGATTTGTATTTGAAGCACCTCCACATTTGTACTTATACTTTTAATTTTATTATCCTAAATCTTTTAATATTTTAAGATAATTAAACTTGTTTAAGAAGTTAAAATCCGTTTTATATGGTAATCTAGAAACAAATAAGCTATATCAAAATAAAACATATTTTTAAAACTTCTAGGCGCTGTTTGGCAATTGCTGAATGGTTTTGATGCAGAATGATTAAATGATTAGAATGATTAAGAGACTCTCATGATATAGTTCAAAATGAAATACAATTGTTTGGTAATTGTGTACAATGAAATTAAAGCTTTTAATGGTTAAGGGAGATCTAGAATGCAAAATCATTCAGAGAGTTTTAGAACCATTAAGAGGCAATTTTTTTTTTTGCCAAACAAGATTCACCTCTTCATGATTCAGATGTTGTCTCTTAATGGAACTAATAAGAGGTAAACACAACCCCTTATTTTGATATCTACATTTAAATTATGCTTCCTCTGACATAAAAAATTGATCACGTTTATATATTAGTTTGTCCTAAATAATTGTTCACTTTTGAAAAATAAGGTGAAGTTTATTTTTTTAAAGGTGTTGAAATCTGGAGTTTTATTTCACTTTTGATCGATAAGAGGTGATGTTAACGTCTGAAATCTGAATCAATAAGATTGTATATTTTTGTAAGCTGATAAATGTCTGAAATTATTTGAATCGTGTATTTTACTCACTGGAATATTATAGTGCTGAATTTATATACAAATTTATACAATTTCACATATTTATTCATCATCATTACGAAATTTGCATCTAAATTATAAATTTAGCATTCATTTAAACAAATAAGGTTAATCGGTAATAATATATTTAAATTATATAAATATAAATTAGAAAGTCACCATTATCGTTTTCTCACATAAAACCATATTATAATATCGACAAAGACAAAATAAAATAAAATTGAGATGTATGTCGTTGTATTGTACGGATACCCTTCTAGTATATAATAGAACATAAACTCTTTTTTTGAATAAACTAGAAGGGTACTCGCGCAATGCATCGAGATAAATCTTGTTTTTAATATTTCATTTTATTATTTATTTCAGTTGATGTTATAATATGGTCTTATGTGATTTTGAAAAAACGATGATGTTTTTTTTTTCCAATAAAATATAAATTTTGAAGATATCATAAAAATATGACAAAAATATATCAATATTAGTATCAAATTAACTATTTAAAATTCTTTATTTTTTGTGTAATTTTTTTATTATAATTTAATTTAGCTTCAATAACGAAGTAATTTATATTTGGTTTAATAATATAATTTTCTTGTAAAGATAATAATTAATTATTTTGTTAAAAACTCGATAATTATTCTAATTATATATTAGATTTTTTATATTTTTAAATGAGATATTTATTTTTCATTTGATTATGTTTATCCGTAGTTAGTTACACGAATTCAAACAAGAAGCTTTAATAAGTTGTACTTATGCATAATTTACTTGTAGTCTTGAATTTTTAATAATATGCATCAATATACAATACTTCATGCATAAAAAATAGTTTTTAAATTTTTTTGTCAAATGCTTTATAATATAATATAGATATGTTTTATTTAAGTATGATTTATTATTGGTTTTATATTGAAGTTGTTATTTACGTAATAATTTAAGAAAATAATAAAACAGGTATTAATAAAGCGACTGTACAAGTTTAATGTTTTTGGAACCAATTTAAGTGCATTGATGAGTTGTGCTTTTAGTGTGGGAAGGCTCAACTACTACGCATACTATTGGGGCATTTTTGGAATTTTATACAAATATATTATTAAAGAAAAGTACAACCCATTAAAGCCATATTAATATCAATATAAAAATAGATTCAAATTGGGAATAAATGAACACAGCTGTACACTACACCTCTCCTACATTCCCTCTTTTTAAACCTCCTTTTTTTTTTAATAAATAAATAAATTAAATGGAAAACTCAAAAACATAAAATAATTATAGAAAACATATAAAATAAAGTGGTCTACGTAGTTTTGATCATTGTAGTTGTTATTTTGCTTCATTTTTGATCTCTTAGACTAACTTATGTTAAAACGGTCTGTCAACTTAAGAATATTTTAGGGGTCGTTTATCAAACACTTACTCGGTAAACGCTTATCGGTAAAATTTAACACTACCATTTACTTATCGGGTAAGACTTTAGTCAACAAAAACGACACTGTATGCAACAATTTACCCAGTAAGCGCTTACCATAATAAGAGTCGTCGCTCTCACTTACTGGGTAAGACTCTCGGTCCTTATCTCCCTCTTACTAAATATATTCTTGATCCTTATCATATTCATTTGGTAAAATAATATAACTTCTTATCCCTTACCTGGATAAGCATTTACCGAACCGTGGGTCTTTTTTGTATTTCTTACATTTTCAACTCAAACTTCCAGGTAATATATTATTTTATATATTATTATTAGTACATAAAATACCTTGCAAAAAACAGACGACCCTGCCCCACCCCTTTACCACTCCAGCTATCGTCTTCTCCGACGACACCCCTGAGAACCAACGAGAAGTCCACCCCCTCCCTGTTGCAACGTAATCCACGGGATCAAACCCACCCATCCACCCACATCGTTATCGCTTCGGCGAGAAACAGAATCCAACCCCATCCCCCGGTGATCTTATCCGACAAACAAATCCAAAACCATATCCAAGACAAAATAAAACCCAAACTTGGTCTAAAAACAGCAACCCTTTCTCGATCAAAATGGGTCTAAAAACAGCAGGGTTGAAACCATTTCAGAAGCAGCATCAGAAGTAAATCGATCCAAAACAGCAGTCCCACCTCTGATCCTCAAATAGAAACCATCACAGTTCATATAAACCTACTTAATCGAAATATGGAACCAAAGAGAGAAGAAGAGAGATAGGACGATTTCGAGCTAAGAATCATGCTTAAATCTGGGGAATTTTTTCTCTAGATTTGGTATATCACACAGAAGAAAGGAGAGACAAAGGCAACCCATTTTTTCATATCCTCAATTGATTTTAGTACCTGGAGAAGAAATGAATTCAGAAGAATTAAGAAGCTCAGATTTTGAGCCCTAAAATCGCAGAAGCATCTTAGTTAGGTTCATTTGGAATTGGAGTTAGGTATGTTTAGGTTTGGGTTTGGGGTTGTCTCGCCGGAGAGATGACCGGAGGGGGAGGGGTGTCAGGTGCGGTGTGATCCGTGATGAAGGAAGAAGACGGGTGGGGTTGAGGGTATGTGTATTATTGACATAAAAGAAAAAAAGCTCTAATAAAACCAAAAAGAAAAAAAAACAAAATACTCTCGACTGTAAAAGATATTTTTAACGGGAGTTAATTTGAGGGATTAAAAAGACAACGGCAGTAACCAAGAGTCCAAGACTGTAATTTAATCTTAGATCAATGATTTACTTATTGTTTTACAAGGATAAAATTAATTGGAATGTCTTTAACAACTTACTGTAACGCTTTTAAGACAAATCATTGATTCTATAAATTTTAAATCTTGAAATGGCTGTGACCAGTGACGGATCCAGGATTTTGGTCTAGTGGGGGCACCTTTAAGGTAGCTTAAACGCCCACCAAGTCGTCCGATGTGTTTTAAGCCTAATTCCACCATTCTAAGAGATTTTTGAAGTTTTTTTGGATTATTTCGAGGGATTTTTTAAGGTTTTCTTATCGATTTCGAGGAACTTTTCAGTTTTTTGGTTGATTTCAAGATACTTTCTTTAGTTGGTGGGGGCCCTAACAAGAAATTACGGAGAAAAACCATGATAAAAAGTAAAAAAAAACAATTTTTAACCTTAAAAAAATTCATTTTTTTATTTTTTAATGGGGGCCCTTCCCCCCACCTTTTACATGGTGAATTCGCCCCTGGCTGTGACCGTCGTATCCGACACCTTTCGCTGTACTAAAAACCTGAATTTGTATTTCAAGAATAAGATTTAAAATTTTGACACTGCTTACGTCTTTGTTCAGATTTCTAGTTCCATCTTTTGTCTCGTCTTCTATTTTGATTTTTCGGGTTTTTTTTACTAAGTTAATGTAAAATGAATAAAATATAAATATAAATTTTAATAATGAAATAAATTCTTCTCTGCAAACGAGGTTGGAACCGGTAGATGTGTTTCTTGAAATATTTGTATGTATAGAGATGTTCCTAGTTGAACAAAATAGAAAATAACAACCATAAGGGTGGTTCTTGATTGATTTAAACTTGACTTTAAAGATCAAAAGTATCAGGATGTCTCAGGTTTAAAACTAAGGAGGAATAAAAATCCCCTTGTGGCCACGGAAGTTCAAATATGATAACTCCGAATTATTTGCAAAACAGATGATCGTTTTGAGATTAATCGACTCACAAAACGAATTGAATATCCAGGGTTAATAAAAAGAAAAAAAACAACAAAGTTTATTGATTAGGTGGGTTTCCATTCCATGGTAAACAAGGGAAAGTTGAACCACCAAAATAAATACACACTACAAGTATACAAACATGAAAATGTTCAACTATTTCTTTTTGCTATAAAATAAAACAAATGCTTTTTTTTACTTGAATTAGAAAATTACCTTTTTACCCTTTCTCTCTTTCTCTTTCTCTTTCTCTTTCTCTTTCTCTTTCTAAAGAAACTTGAATGTAGCAACATCTTCATCTTGAATCCAACCATATTTCGCCATGAAAGCATTTTCCAGTGTTTTTGGTGGATAATTTTCGATGTTACATTCCTTCCAGACGTTTCCAGAACCTTCCAAATCTCGAACCACTTCCCATAAACAACTGTTGCACTTAAAACCAGCCCCAAAACTTATCATGAACAAGTTGTCACCTTTTTTTAGCCTCTTTTTGGCCTCCATGTATCCCAAAACATACCACAGGCTACTGGCCGATGTGTTGCCGAACCGGTGGAGGGTCATTCGGGCCGGTTCGATGTCGAATTGGGTCAGGTTCAGGCTCTGAGCCACTGCGTCGATCACGGCTTTCCCGCCCGTGTGCAGACAGAAATGGTCGATCCCGGTTTTGAAGTCGATCACGGGTCGGGTCGGCCACGACGACTTTCCGAGCACGTTTTGGACCGTTTTTCGGGCGAAGGAGAGTACCGCGAACCGTAAGAGTTCACGCATTGGGAGGATTTTCGGCGCGATTTGTTTTAGGTTGTCGACGAATGCTCGGGTTGCGGTTTTCGGTAGGGATTTCCCGAGGTGGAAACCGACACGACCGTGATCGTCTTCGGTCTGTAAGCAGCAACCGTAGGCTTCGTCTTTGGAACCGTGGTGGGTTCGGACTAAAACCTTGAGTTTGAACATGGACCGGTGCACCAAACTGGGCTTGTTCGTTAAGATCATCGCGCACCCACCGGATCGAAATAAACAATTCGATAAAATCATCGATCGATCGTTACCGGAATACCAATTCGGCGTCAAACATTCCGACGTCACCACCATCGCCAATTGATTTCTCTTCGATTTAAACACACTCCGAACAAGATCAATCGAAACCAAACTCGCACTACACCCCATCCCCGATAAATTATACGTCTTTACGTCTTCCCTCATCTTGTACCGGTTCACGATTCGAGCCGATAACGACGGCATGCAAGTCAACATCGAAACATTGACGACCAAAACATCGATATTACTCGGCTGGATCCCGGTACGATCAAAGAGCTTTCCGATACTGTCTTCGAAAATCTCTTCCATTTCCGTCACAGCGTCTTCATGAGTAGGGTTTTCTTCACGGCCTTCGAACACCATTTTCGGACCGTAGGTTTCTTCACCAATGCCGGAATTCACAATGGCTTTCAGAAGGAACTTGTATTCGTTGAGACCCAGATTCTTATTTCTCTTGATAATGTCGCCGGAGGCTTCCGTGGAGAGTTTCCGGTCGTCGGAAGGTTTGTATAGCTGGTAATCGAGTATGTAACAGCCTTGATGCCGCTTGTTTTCAAGAAATTTCAGAAGAATGCAGAGGAGGTAGAAGAAAGGAAGACAGAATACGATCGTTAGAACGTAATCCATATCAGATTATAGAGAGATAGAGATAGATATTTAGAGATATATAGATATATATATATATAGAGAGAGAGATAGAGAGAGAGAGGTGGGTGTTTGCAGTTCTTATGGAGTGTGAAATCCGATGGTATAAGACACATTTGTATATAAAGGGGTGTGACCAGCTTGCATGCCTGACTCATAAGGTATAAAATACTAATAAAATAAAGAATATATTTATTTATATGCATATGACCAAACCTCTCGAATATTTATATTTAGGGACCATTATTTTTAACTACGATTAGACCTATTTATGAATTTATATGATATCAGAATATCGGGTTTATATGTTTTATAAGATGTACTGTATAAAAGTAATATAATAAGTTTTGTAATATTTTTACGGGACATTTTATTAAGTTAAATTAGTAGGACAATTTTAAAATAGAGCGTTTTTATACTAAGCTGTTTTACAAGAGATTTTTAAATAGCTAAAATGACGGTTTACTTTTGAAATGTCTTTAATAAGTTTGTTAAAACGTCCTATAAGATTATTTATAACACTTTTAGGTAGATGTTTTATTGTTTGTTTTTTTGGAAGGGTGTTCCATGCTTTGCCTGAACTAATCACAATAAATTGTGATTGCAAAAAATCAACCGTGATAAATTAAATGATTACAATCCACTGCTAGAAAATAGAGTATCAACGACGGTTGTGAGCGACGGAAAAAATCCGTTGTAAATCAGCAACGGACAAGCCAAAATCAATCCCCTCATAGATTTGTCGCTAATCAACGAGGGATCCGTGAGAGGTAGGTCAGGTGTCCGTCACTAATCAACAAAGGATATGCGATGGATTATCATGTTCTTCTTTTTTTTCTCATTTTTTATGTTATATGTACACATGTGTATGTGTAGATGTCATATGTATACATGTATATGTGCTATATGTATATATATGATGAAGATATATTTGTTTTGGTTGCTAACCGCGATCATTAGATCTATGTTTATATCGTTGAAGATACATGTATCAGATGATATATATATATATATATATATATGTATGTATGTATGTATGTGTATATGCAATGTCTAGATAATATGTGTGTTATATACACATGTGTATGCGTCATGTGTATGTGTTACATATATACCCGTTGGCCTGCGCTATATATATATATATATATGTATATATATATATACACACTATGTGTGTATATGTGTGTTAGTTGTTAATCATGATTAGAATTATGTATATATGGTTGAAGATACATGTATCGGATGATGTATGTATGTTGTATATATGTTTAAATGTATATGTATAGTATATGTGAATTTATAGATAATATGTTTGTCTTGTTTGGGCTTATTCGGTTTTATAGGGCCTTAAATGGTTTTATTGGGCGGTTGTCAAGACAAAGGCTCGTGATATATATGAAGTGTCCGACATGATTAACGATGTTGAAGACAATAATCATGTAGATGGAGAACAATTCTTTCAAATCAATGAAAGGGTAACTCATACAACGTTTGTATTGGGAAACGAGCTCGATAATGTTCGTCTTACCACAAGAGAGGTAAACATACTCTATAATATTAATGAAGATGAAGGTGGCGACGAATCGAACGATGATAGCGACAATATGTCGGGAAATGAAGATAGCGAGGATGAACCAGAATTCGAAGCATTTTGTTGCGTTTATGCGATACGTTTTCTCCCCTCTCCCATCTCCGTACCTTCCGATAGTTAAATTGTATAATTTGAACATAAAATTGTATGAATTGGATATTTTAAATTGTATGAATTGGTCAGTTTTAATTTGTTCACACTTTTGGTTTGTTATTTTATATGGCCAGTTTTTGTATAAAATAAATATAAAAATTATGTAATTATAAATTATTTATTTTTAAATTATTAAAAGTTAGCGACGGATTTCATCTTTAAAAGTTATTGGTCCCTCGCTAATCTGTCGCTAAAAAGTCCCTCGCTGAAAGTATCATCGCTGAAAGGTTCCCCTCTCTAATCCATCAATAAAAGTATCTGTTGCTGAAAGTTTCCCTCGCTAATCCGCTGTTAAAAGTACCCGTCACTAATTTGTTGCTGAAATATTTCCGTCGCAAATACTATCCGTCGCTAAAATCCATCGATGATCCGTCGCTGATAGCATTACCTACAAGCTTTTAACGGACGGACGATTTGCAATGAATTAGCGATGGTCAACGACGAAATTTTCGGTCGCTGATACTCCTCATGATTGTTGCATATGTCTGGAATTGAACCCTGAGCAGATGAGATATTCCACCACATCCCCTAAAGAATAAACAAGGGGTGTAGCAGCGGTAAATATTGATTTAAACAAACAAAATCAAACATTTGTTAATCAACCAAAAACATAAAGAAATCCTAAACAGATCAAATGGTAACAAATTATTATTCATCAAACAAAAACCCTAATCTTGAAGCCCTTAGACATAAACGAATGATAATGCACATACCTGAAATTGTAGATGGAGACTGATTAGAGAGAGGCAGACGACAAACAGAGGAAGGCCAGAGAACAGTGAGAGAATGAGGAAGGTACACATATATAACGAGTATTGATGAACTTTAGTGAAAAAGATGACTTTTGCAGTCTTGATTGCTTATGAAATAAGGGCGATTGATGTTGAAAGGATGAGGAATGCAATTGAAATAGGGGGAGTGGAGGATAAAATCGGAAAAAAAAAATCTGGAATGTATCCTCTGACTGCGATAAGAATGAGAATGGTTGTTGACTGATTATTATCCGGTAAGAGGGAGGATCAGAGTCTTTTTTTATAATAAGTGGTTAGTAAACACTCTACTTCTTATTAAGATAAAAACCTTTTATCCAATAACTGTCTATAAGAAGCAAATAAACAATTCTTAATTAGCTTATTAGAACACGTAAACAACTTTTACATCATATGAACTTAATTTTGCTGCAGTGGTAACCATTAAAAGACTTGGTTTATATAAGTTGCGATATGAAAAATTGAATATATATGATATAAAGATAAAAAAAGGTAATACACATATCAAAGTATATATATATATATAGGAGCGATCAAATGCAAACAATTTAATTTGTATAAATCGTGCAAACCTCATTCAACCAATCATAATTTTTCATTTTGTTAATTTTTTTTTTGTAATCATGGGAGGTTCATTAATCATTTTTATTGTAGATGGTTTTAATCATGGATATTATCATATTCGTTATTTTAATTTTAGAGAAATACATGAAATAGTTTCATTAAAATTTCATTAAGTATTATATGAAATAATTTCATAACCATATATGAAACAATTTCATCAAAAAAAGTATTATATGAAACAATTTCACAAGATTAAACAATTTCATGAAAAAATTTCATAAGATTAAATAATGAAATCGACAGATGATGGTGGTTTGCACGGTTTGTACAAATTGGGTGGTTTGCATTTGATCGCTCCTTTCTCTCTCTCTCTCTCTCTCTCTCTCTATATATATATATATATATATATATTCAACTTGATTTTTTTATTTAATATCTTATTTATATTAATTAACATATTATATTATTAAGGATTTGTTTTAATTATATTACAAAATGTTGTAATGACTAAATTTTTCAAGATGTATTTTTTTATTATTACATTTTTCGTCTAGCTTATTAGCTAGTTTTTGTCAAATGTGATTTGTTCATTAGTTAGCTTATCAACTACTTTACCAATAGCCTTTACGTAGTGTAAGTCGACATCTTTTTGGATCAATGAGTTATGACCATCACAATGACACTTTCCGATTCGGTAACGAGCAATATTATTTATAGAACTAACTCGTTATTAAGTACACCATCTTAGTGATTTTAGTGATCATATGAACTTATAAGTGATAAGATGTATGTATCTTCGATTTCAATGATTTAGCAAGAACGTAACGACGTTTCATATTCGGAAAAGAATGAAGTTTTTATTCTTAGAACTCAATTGAATACGAAGATAGAAATGCGTCATTTATTCATTATAGAACCATTAAATGAATACCATAACTTGATATTTAAATATGTTGAAAATTCTAGATTCCGGATTTGTCAAAAAGACGAAAAAAATAAGATTGCAGATATGCATAAAAGCATCAGAAGATATGATAATAACACGCCTATGAATAGATAGTTTTAAATAAATCTCAAAAATATATTCAAATTGTAATTTACGGTTATACATACAAAATTATATTCGATAAAATTAATAGTGTATAGATGATAATAAATTTTTCTTATCATCGATTGTGAGATGCATGCACATCAATTTAAGGTCGAGAATCAAGATTTGAGGTTAAACGTATCAAGCGAGTTTTTCATGTGTTTGAAATTGTAATACATACAACAATACTGATTTAGTGTCTCAGTTACGTTTAGGAGATTATACATTATTTTTAAAGTTAACATTGTATTTCAGATATTATACAATATGACCGCATATGGTTACTGTTTAAATATATATATATATATATATATATATATATATACAAGCATGCTATGTTTATAATGTTTAACGCATGCTAACTATTATAGTACAAACGTGTTATGTTTAAAGATGTTTTGGTGTGTGCATGAGATCATGTACTGGGACGTCAGTAGGAACAGGCAGGATGCCCATATAATAAATTTGTTCAGATGTTACCGATAAATACTCCACTTATTGTACTATGTGAATTCAAATGTGACAGAATGACCACCACAATACATCATTTAGTAACAAGATCCAAAATATCCAGTATTCAAATTTTCATAAAATAAGATGTTCAATATGACAGACACAACAATTTTAGTATTGGTTTTCAATTTAGTTTATAGTTCAGTTTTCAGTATAACTTTCAGTTAATTTTGATACTTGTCATGTTAAATGTTTTACGTTAACAAACTTCAGGGTATCTTGGACACCATAATTGTTGGTCGAGAAATAATATATATACTCATGAATTGCATATATAAAACCATAAACTCACTTAGTATTG